GTTGCATCCCTGCTGGGCTGGGACTCGAGGCACCTCCTGACCTTCTCCTTCCCTTGGCAGGGCTGGAGTACAGTGAAGTGCTGCCCGACTCCTTCCCCTCAGCCCCAGCAGAGACCCTCCCTCACTTCCTGCTGGAGCCACAGGATGCCTACATCGTGAAGAACAAGCCCGTGGAGCTCGTCTGCCGCGCCAACCCCGCCACCCAGATCTACTTCAAGTGCAACGGGGAGTGGGTCAGCCAGAATGACCACATCACCAAGGAGAGCCTGGATGAGGTCACTGGTGAGCAAACCCACCCCATCTGCACTTCCCCTCTCTCCTTCCCAGGTGCTTCTGCCCTTCTCTCCCTTGCACATCCGCGCTGGAGGTGATTCTCCTCCAGGTGGACCAACAGGTCTCTTCGTTTCTCTCATTCCCAAGCTCATGAGGTTGCTTTTGTGTGTTTCCCACCTCCTTGGTCCACGTTTCTCTTTCCAGATCATCAGTGGATTTTAGCAAAGGAGCTGCCCCTTTCCAGCCCATTGATGAAGGTGTGATGATGGTCACCCTACTCCCTAGAAGCCTGGGGAATTCAGCTCCCCTGCTTGCACAGTTACCCTTTCACAGGATTTGGGGTCATGAAATGGGATTTGAAAGGCAGCACATTGAAAACTGATTAAAACAAAATGCCTCCCTTCAAAAAGCCTAATCAACACGTAGGAGTCCTTGCCACGAGGGGTGGCAAAGGCTGGCAGCTTATTCAGGGTCACAAAGGGATTAGATGGGTAATGAGCTCCTTGGCAGGTAGGATTTGAAATGCCTTTTCATGGCAGATGAGCTCTTCCCTGCCTGGAAGGGCAAGTCAGCTGCTGGCTGTCTGAAATAAGAGGCAAGGAGCTGGTTTAGGCATTTTTAGGGGGTGTTTTGTTCCATGGGATTGGGCACTGCAGAACGGCTTGTCCCCTGCTTGGAAACATCTTGGCACGAGAGCAAGGAGTGGGGGTTGGATGTGTCCTGTAATCAAGGAGCTTTGCTAAAATTGGGATGCTTCAGCTCAGCTCCCACCTTGCCTGCACCAATTTAGGTACCTGTGGCCTGAGCAGGAAGGGAGGAAAAGAGTCAGGTAAGCTCTGTTCTCTGCAAATCCCTGAGCCTGCGGCATCCATCCCCTCCAGAGGGCTTGAGACCAAGGTGGCCTTCTGAACTGCTGGGCTGGCCCCAGAAATCAGCCTGATCTTAGAGGAGACACCTTGTCAACCTGGAGGAGCACAAGTACTTTTACAGAACCTCCTCTTCTCCCTTTTTTCCCCCAGCCTTGCCCTTCCCTGCCATCTCCTCAGATCTTCTTCCAGTCCTTGCTGGGGTGCCTCTCTGAACCTGCTCTGCAAAGGGAAGAACATTTCTTTTCCCCACAGCTTTTTTTGAGCCTTTTCTCCTAAAGCTTCTTCTCCTGGAGTGGAAACTGCCTCAAGTTGGGCCTGGTTCAGTGGTGATGATGTCAGTGTGGTCCAGCCCTGGATAAATTTTCCCCTTGGTTAATTTCTCAATGTTGTCAGGACTCATTTCTCCTCTGGGCAGTCCCAGCATCCTGCATCAGGGAATTTCATGGGTTAATGATGGAAAAATCATAGAATCACAGGCTGGTTTGGGTTGGATCTCAAAGATCATCCAGTTCCAACCTCCCCTGAATGGGCAGGGACACCTCCCACCAGCCCAGGCTGCTCCAAGCCCCATCCAACCTGCCCTTCCAACACTGCCAGGGATGGGGCAGCCACAGCTTCCCTGGGCAACCTGGGCCAGGCTCTCACCACCCTCACACTAAGGTATTTCCTCCTAATGTCTCATCTAAATCTCCACTCTTCTACTTTAAAGACATTATCCCTCATCCCATCCCTCCCTGCCCTTGTCCCAAGCCCCTTCCCAACTTTCCTGGAGCCCCTTCAGGCACTGGAAGGTGCTCTCAGGTCTCCCTGGAGCCTTCCCTTCTCCTGGCTGAACACCCCAACTCTCCCAGCCTGGCTCCAGAGCAGAGCTGCTCCAGCCCTCTTTCTGACCCCACATCTCAGATGAATACCCCCTAACCTGCCTCATGCAGCTCCTGAGCAAAACAGCTTGGAGAAGAGATAGAGGCAAGGGAACAGAAAGTCTGTGCAGCAGGAGCTTCCCTGGTTTTATGGGAGACTCATTTGCTTTTGGGCCAACATCTCCTCCCTCTCCCGTCCCAGCCTGCAGATGCAGAACATGTGCCAGCAATTTGGGGGAGGAAACCATGTGCACCTTCTTCACCCAGGCTTCAGAGGTGGCCTTGCTGCTGTCAGCAGGCAAAGCCAGGGATCCTCTGGGTGCAGGGGTGATGCTGTGCATGGGAAACTCTGCTGCCATGGGCATATCTGCCCAAGAGAAGGGGAACTTGGACCAGGATGGGTGCTAAAAATCACACCCCCCTGCATTTGCAGTGCTTGCCATTCCTAGAGGAAACTGCCCCAAAGGGCACGGGTGGGGAACTGGGGTTAACCCAGTTAGGTGAGTTTTCAAGTGTCACAGCATCAAAAGCTTGGTAGAAAGAGCCTGAAAGGTGACAGTATCTTGAATGAGGCAGGCTCAGGAATGCTCTGTGTCTCATCCCAACCATTTCGTGGGGAAGAAAGGAAAAAATAGGCCAAGTCAGAGAGGATCATTCAGCCAGAGGAGAAGGGACGAGGTGGGGAAGAGCAGCTGTGTTGGGATGCCCAGCCCTTCCAGTTGTCACTCCTGTGAGCCAGAAGCTTAGCCTGCAGTTCCGGGTTGGCCTTGTTTCAGGGATTATGGAGACAGCAGGGGGATTTGCAGGATAACTCCTCACCTTCCCAGGACTTGCTCATCCCACCCTGTCCAGACTTTCCGGAGAGACGAGATGGTTTTGGAGGCCTGATTTTTTCCAAAAGTGCTTGGCCCCCAAGTGCCTTAGTTGTTTGTTGTTGTGAGTTTTTTTCTTCTTTTAGTGTCAAAATAAATTGCATTTCCTCAGGGCCTATTTGTCAGCTCTTCCACAGGAAGGTGGCAGAGAGATGGTAATTGCTCCTCTCAGAATTACAGCTGGGGAGCCCACAGCTCTCTGTTGTTGTGAACTTGAGGCCTTTTTTTTAATAAATAGAAGCTGGAAAACAACAACAACAACAAAAAGGGGGGCAGCTATTGCTGAAAATAAGGAAAAGTAAACTCCCAAGTCCCCTCTGCCCTTAGTGATGGCCACGCTGTGAGGGGTTGATGTTTCAGGTGAGCCTCAGCATCTTGTGGTCCAGGGGATCATATCCTGCATATGGCAGTGCCACCTTTGGCATGGCCAGGGGGTTCTGGCAGCCTTCATGGGGGTATTTGGGCATGATGGAGGCATGTAACCCCTTCTTGGGGTCATTGGGCATGAAATGCCATCATCCCTGGGTGGTTTCCTGAAGGTCTTTTGTTTGTCTTGTATTTCAAGGGCAGCTGCCAGAGCTGGTTTCTCCCCACAGCAAAGCTTTGGAGGTATCTTTCAAACCCAGTGGGTGGTGAGGGGGTCTGGGCAGGGACAGGGATGTAAGTGCCAGGGAAGGGGGCTGGTGGAGGAGAGTGATGCCTGTTGAAATGGTTAAGAGGTCCTGGTCCTGCCCAGCCAGACTGGGAGGGGAAAAACAAAAAAAGGATGACTCTCTGACATGAGACATTGTCTTGGCTTCAGGCCCAAGTCACCCTTCAGAGGAGGAACTGTCTCTTGTGCTTTGCTGAGGTGCCAAACCTGGATGCCTCTGAGCTGCCTCCAAACCCCCTGCCATCCCACCTGTGAGCTCAGTGCCATCACCAGCCCTCCTCGTGGGTGCTGCTGCCTCAGTTTCCCTCCTGCGGAGCTGATGCCACCCCTCTTGTCTCCTTCCAGGGGTGCTGGTGAGGGAGGTGCAGATCGAGGTCTCCCGGCAGCAGGTGGAGGAGCTCTTTGGCTTAGAAGATTACTGGTGCCAGTGTGTGGCCTGGAGCTCTGCTGGCACCACCAAGAGCCGCCGGGCGTACGTCCGCATCGCTTGTAAGTGCCTGGAACACGGAGCACCTGCTCAGGTGTGACCCCTCCTCAGGTGCTCCCTGCTTCCCTGTAGTGCTCCCGCTCGCAGGCTCCTCGTTGAATTTCAGTGAACCCTTCTTCCACCTTCTCTTCCACTTTGGGGGCCCCCAAAAGGGTTTCCAGAGGGCGGGTTTAGAAATGGTTGCAAAGCCTGAGGTGGTGACCCAGGCTGGTTTCGTGCCAGGTGGGTGCTGCTTGAAAGAGTGGCCAGGCTGTTCATTCCCAGCTTCCTGGCACCTCCCCAGCCATGCTGAGTGCACGCTTGGAGTTGTCCACCTCCAGAAGTTGGCTCCCTGGTGAAAGCAGTGCTTTTTGAACAGCTGGAGATCACCCATCCTCGCTGGATGGCCCTGGTCTTAGCCCCCAATCCCACCCCTAGCCTTGCTTCTCAGCAGCCCTGCTCTGACCTACCTGGGGTGAGGGTGGCTGTGGCACTAGGTGGGTTAACACCACATTGCCCATCAGCCTGCTCAACTCTTCCCTGGGCTTTATTACCCTCCCTAATCCCAACGGGAAGCACTGAATCGGCAGCTCCGTGTCCCTGCTGTCATATGTCACTTCTCTGAGCTGCTGTTGGTGGGTGTCAGCCTAATGGAGGGCGAGTTAATCGGGCTGTTACCCAGCTGAATTGGCTCTCTTAGCAAATGAGATGGCAAAGCTCTAGGAAGAGGAGCCAGGCTTCCCTGCTCCTCGACAGATTTTGCTCTTAGAGGGCTAATAATCCGGCACGTTCTCCAAAAGGGAACTGCCTGGTGAAGGATTTAGTCTGAACGGGAAGGGGGGGGGGAGGAAATGTTACAAGGCACAGGGCTGGCTACTGAGGGAGCCTGTTTGGCCCCAGCCATGGGTTTGGTGGTTCTTGGAGATGATCCCAGAGGTTGGTCGCCCTGCCAGAGCGGGCTGGGTGCTGTAGAGGAGGTTTGCAGCACCATCTAGTGATGTTCCTGCTTCTTCCACAGCTCTGGAGCTGGACCCTGCATATCCCTGTGGGCTTCTCCCTCTTCCCCAAAGCACTGGGGCTTTTCAGCAGCAGCTGTTCCCCGTTTCAGCACTGGAGTTGGATAGCTGGGTTACCATCAAGTGGCTCGGTTGGGATCACCTAGGGAGGGTTGAGGAACAACCCCATAGCCCTGAAATGTGGGGATTTGCTTCAGTGCTGGCACAGGAGCCAAACAAAGAAGGGTCCAGAGGGGGGAAAAAAATGGTTCAGCTGAGGTTTTAGCCCCAAAGGATAAAGACAGGAGGAGATAGAAGCTTTGCAAGCACATGAAGGAGGAAAAGCGTCATCCTTGAGCACCATGTGCTGTCTCTGATCCACCCTGGAGAAGATGCTCCTTCCATCCCAGGACATGTTTTGCTCTGGCTGTGCTATGTCAGAGGGATTTCCCTACTCGTGGGCTCCTGGTGCTGAAGGGTGTGCTCTCCTCCCCACCAGGGTTTAGCAGGTTGTGCTGTTTCTGCAGTGCTTTCCTTTCCCTCCCAGACCTACGGAAGAACTTTGACCAGGAGCCCCTGGGCAAGGAGGTCCCACTGGAGCACGAGGTGCTGCTGCAGTGTCGCCCACCCGAGGGGGTGCCACAGGCTGAGGTGAGCAGCTCAGCACCCCAGAGAATATGCCTGGGTGAGGTGTCCCTTCTGATGGGTTTTCCTGGCACAGGAGTGGTGCTTTCCCTGCCCGCAGCTCCATTGCTCCCCAAGAGTTGTGTGTTGGTGGTAGCCCTGATGTTCCATCCTTGGCCAAAACAGCAGTAACGTGCCCTGGTCAGGCCCGGAGGAGGTTTCTCCTCAGGTTTCAAGGAGAAATCAATGCAGTTAGAGGTGAGGTTGGCCAGTCAGTGGTTGTGGTGCTGAGGAACAGGGTGGTCTCGGTGATGAGGGCTTGGGGCAGGACACAGGCTGGTCTGGAGGGGTTTGTTCTCCTTCGGGGCTGGTGAATTCAGCACCTCTGACCTGTTGTTTGTCCTTGGTGGTGCCCACACCCCTGCTCTGTGCTGGTGTCAACTCACACCCTTCCCCAACAGCTGGTTAAGTGGTGGTGTCCTAGTTTAGCTTTGGGGCCCTTGGAGATCCTTGCAGTGGGGAGCACGTCGGATGGACACTTCCATTTTCCTGGCTGGCTGTCCAGTTCTTGTTTGGCTTATTCACCATCCTTACCCTGTCCCTTTCCTTTGCCTTGCCAGGTGGAGTGGCTGAGGAATGAGGATGTCATTGATCCCACCCAGGACACCAACTTCTTGATCACCATTGATCACAACCTCATCATCAAGCAGGCCCGGCTCCTGGACACTGCTAATTACACCTGCATGGCCAAGAACATCGTGGCCAAGCGCCGGAGCACCACGGCTGCTGTCATCGTCTATGGTACCTACCCTTGCTCCTGGGGAGGGGACCCAAGCCATGTTTTCAAGGGGAGATGTGGGCGCTTCCTGGGAGTGGTAGGAGTGAACCCCACCAGGGTATGGCATTAAATGAGGTAATAGCCAATGTCTGCACAGCAGGTACCTCGGCAGGTCATTAGGAGAGAGGTTGGTGGGTGTAGGTGTTGGCAAGACTTCTTGGTCGGGTGCAAAAGTGGGTGGAAGTTGGATCCAGCCAGGTTGCTTTGACTCTCAAAGCTGAACTTTGATAGGAAGCCAAAGGCCTGCTGTGGCCAGGTGAAAGAATTGTGGCCAAGTGGAAAAAGGGCCAATAAACAGGTGTGAGTGTTTTGTAGACGTGCTGGGTGACATGAGGAGGAGCCTCGTGGTTTACTTTTCACAAGGGCGTCCCAGAAGATGTAGGGACCTGGTGAACCCTTGGCTCAGCTCCAGCCCCTGCTGAAACAAGCTCTGGTGATGTGCTTTGTGCTGCCTGTCTCCTCTTGCAGTGAATGGTGGCTGGTCCACCTGGTCCGAGTGGTCTCCTTGCAACAACCGCTGTGGCCGGGGCTGGCAGAAGCGCACCCGGACGTGCACCAACCCCGCGCCCCTCAACGGGGGCTCCTTCTGTGATGGGCAGCCTTTCCAGAAAATCACCTGCACCACCCTCTGCCCAGGTGAGGAGGGGTTCAGAAGCCACACTGCCCATTCCCATCTGTGCTCCTGGAGAAGATGGGAATGGGGGAAACCAGCATCTGAAAGAGCCGGAGAGCTGGGTCTGCTGGGAATAACGCTCGCCCCTCGAAGCTCTCTGAGATGGGCATGGGTACCCTTCTGGTGCCAGAGACATCCCAGCAGCAGGGAGTGAGCCATGCCTGGGGGTTCTACTGACGCTCCTGTGCTTGGTGACCCACAGTGGATGGTGCCTGGACAGAGTGGAGCAAGTGGTCAGCCTGCAGCACCGAGTGCACCCACTGGCGCAGCCGCGAGTGCGCGGCCCCGGCCCCCCGCAACGGCGGCAGGGACTGCTCTGGGCTGCTCCTCGACTCCAAAAACTGCACCGACGGGCTCTGCCTGCACAGTGAGTATGGCTGGGGACAGGGACCTCCTGCTGGAGGCCACCCTGGTGGTGGTCATGGTGTTCCAGCACTCAGCCAAGCTGCTGTTTGGCCCCCCGGGGCAGGTCGCAGCTCTGCTGGCACCACCTGCGTTTGAATCTGTGTCTTGAACCAGGTTTTGTTCTAACCAGACTCATCCTTTCCCAAGGTGGTTGTCACTGGGTGGGAAGAATTTTGTGGGGGAAGGGTTGGGAAAAGAAGTCTGGATGTTTTTTGGTCTCAGTGTCCCAGCAAGGCTTCTGGAGCAGCAGTAGGTTTGGGGTCTCGGCTGGAGTCAGGCTGGTGGTGGTTTGTGGGAACAAGCCAGGGAGGGTTCTCAGTCCCACCAGGAAAGCAGCAAGTCAGGAAAAAAGCCAACCCAACAATGCTGAGGGTGCTGCTCTAGGATGAGAGGCTGAGAGGCCAATGCTGCCACCTGCTGCTGTGTGACACCTCTGTCCCCTTGAACACTGCTGCAGCCCAAAGTCCTCTTAGCTGAGGATGTGGGCTCCAGGGCCTGGCTGGATGTGGGGTCATCCTCTTCCATGTTTCTCCCTGTCTTGCTGCATGTCCCAGGGAACAGTGCTGCTCTCCTGTCCCTCCCCACCATGCTGAGCCTCCTCATGTCCCCTGGGCTGGCTTCCCCCCCCGCCCCCAACACCTTCTGTTTCATCTCATCCCCATCACCACCTTCACCTTTTGTTTTCTAACTTTTTTCCCCTGACAGATAGAAGAGTTCTAAGTGAACCCAAAAGCCACCGTAAGTGCTCATTTCATGGCCATTTGGTTTGTGTTTAGCAGTGCTTTGGTTTTACTTCTGTCACATCCATGGCAGGGCTGGAGATACCTGGAGGGAGGAAGGAGAAAAGAATGGGCTGAGTGTGCTTGGCTCCTGCTGCTGGAGCCTTCACCACAGAAACCTAGAGTCTTAAACTGGTTTGAGTTGGAAGGGACCTTAAAGATCACCTAGTTCCAACCCCCTGCATGGGCAGGGACACCTCCCAGCAGCCCAGGCTGCTCCAAGCCCCATCCAACCTGCCCTTCAACACTGCCAGGGATGGGGCAGCCACAGCTTCCCTGGGCAACCTGGGCCAGGGTCTCACCACCCTCACAGAAAAGACCTTCTTCCTGATGTCTCACCTAGATCTCCCCTCTTCCAGTTTAAAACCATTATCCCTTATCCCATCACTCCATGCCCTTGTGAAAAGTCCCTCCCCAGCTTTTCTCTAGCTCCTTCAGCTACGGGAGGGCCACTGTAAGGTCTCCCCATGCTATACCTTCCCTCTTCATCCCTCTCCTTTTTGGGCAGATATAACCAAGATACTCCAGGTGTTGAAAAAAAACCAGAGCCCTGTGGCAGAGGAAGGGAAGCTGAGGGGTGTCTGGATAGATAAGGTGACACTTGATCTTTCCCGGTGGATACACATCTGTGAAGTGCAGGGGTTGGTGTTATGTCTGCTCCTCAGGGCTGTCTCTGTTGGGATTGTGAAGGTTGACAGCTTTGTGAATCTGAGCTGCCCAACCCTGATGATCCTGGGTGCTCCAGCAAAGTTTGCACGTGCTGTGGCAAGGTGTCCTCTAAGAGTGTGAGGGGTTCACACCCCCATCCCTGTCTCTGGCATCGTTCTGACTTCTGCACTGCTCCTAGAAAACACCTTCCATCCTCCTGCCACAGCCTTTCCAGCAGGCCTAGGACATGTCTTCCCCTTCATGCCTCTGTCCCCAGATCGCTGGTGGGGTTGGGAAGCGCCAGTGGGATTTGGCACGTGTTTCTGCCGCTCCTTCCTTCAACCTCCTTTCCTTTCATCCCTCCCAGTGCTGGAGGCCACGGGTGACGTGGCCCTGTACGCCGGGCTGGTGGTGGCCATTTTTGTCTTCGTGGTGATCCTGATGGCCGTGGGGGTGGTGGTGTACAGGAGGAGGTGCCGGGATTTCGACACGGACATCACCGACTCCTCGGCCGCTCTGACGGGAGGTTTCCACCCTGTCAACTTCAAGACCTCCCGGCACGGTGAGAACCCCCAAACCCCTGCAGGACCTACCTCCTCCTCGAGAGAAGGGCCTGGTGGGCCAGGTTCATCCCCTCCATGGCTTTCTCCTCCCCCAGACAACCCCCAGCTGCTGCACCCCTCGATGCAGCCCGACCTGACGGCCAGCGCCGGGATCTACCGCGGCCCCGTGTATGCCCTGCAGGACTCCTCCGACAAGATCCCCATGACCAACTCCCCCCTCCTCGACCCCCTCCCCAGCCTCAAGATCAAGGTGTACAGCTCCTCCACCACCACCTCCTCCTCCCCCGGGCTCCACGACGGGACCGACCTGCTCGGGGGGATCCCCTCTGCTGGGACCTACCCAGGGGAGAGCAGCAGGGACGGCCACTTCGGCAACGCGTGGAACAAATCCCTGGGTTCCCAGCATCTCCTCAGCTTGCCCCGGGAACACGGCTACAGTGCCAGTGGCACCTTTGGCTACCTGGGGGGAAGGTTGACCATCCCAGGCACTGGTAAGCCCCTGGGGCTGGGAGGAAGGGCACGTTTGGCTGCTGAATCACCCAAGAGTTGCTCTTGGCCCTGCAGCTTTTTGCTGTCCCAGGGCTGACTTGTGGGAGGAAGGCAGCAAGTCCTTCCCAAGCCAGGTTTCTCAGGCTGGAGGTCACAACCTCCTGGGATTTCCCTGGCCAGCTCTGCCAGTGCCTTGCAAAACAGATCCAGCAGGTGGTTTTACTTCCTAATGCAGTGGCCTGGCTCCTCCAGCTGCAAGTGGTGCAGCTGAGGAACATCTGGAGATGTTTCTTCTGGGCTGAGCTGCCCTAGCTCGCTGCTGTCCTGGTGCTTGCTGGCTGGGGAGAAGGGGTGGTTTCTCCTTGGTGGTTTATTCCCTCCTTTGGTGACTTGAACACCTGTGTGTGCCCTGCTAGGGGTGAGCCTGCTGGTGCCTCATGGTGCCATCCCCCAGGGGAAGTTCTACGAGATGTACCTGGTCCTCAACAAGGCGGAGAGCGCCCC